TTGACAAGGGAGATGTATCGTTTTTTAGAGTGCGGGATTAGTCAACAGTGATGTTTCATCCAGGAAACGTTTGATCCATTCCACTATTGTTCCTCCCGTCTGACAAACATTGGGCGCAGTTTCTTGGGTGCATACAAGCTTCCTGGTCTGATGGAGTAGTGAATTGATCACGGATAACATTGGTATTAATGACATCCTAAACCTGTAAACATTAGGCAATCCACAAAAGCTCTCGGTGGCTGACTCGCATGAATGGATTGCATCGAATGCTTGTCAGGCATTCGGTTTACTATCTGAAAACTACTTTGTCCTAGGACAACCAATCAGAACAAAGAGAACAATATGAGGTAATTGGTGAAAATATACCGACTGTTGACTTCACCGGCTACAGCAATCTACGTAGAGTGACGAGCAAAAACCCCGAAGATGGTGTCTTTCAACAAATGGGTTTCTTTTTCATGACGGTACTGAACTACAAATTACATCAGTAAAACCATCAAAACTTCAACTTGTGGCACTGTCCAGTTTTGTGAAGCCGGTAATTCAGTAGGCGGAGACTGCGAACAGCAGGGTGATAATGGAACGAATAAACCAAACGATACCAAGCAGGAACACATGCATGTGTGATAGTCAACGTGGGAAGTGATCCGGATAGAACCAATCGAAATGCTGTGATGTAGGCGTTTCTCATCAGGGAACCCCGTGAAATAACACTTCGAAAGACCTGTGTGTATGTAGACAGATGTCAGGGTCAGCCAATCGTGGACACGGATCGACGAGACAGATGAGGGCAGCGTTGTGGGGCAAATGTGCTATCCAGTCAACCAATAGTTGTGTATATGCATTACATTTCGTTTCCCCGAACGTTAGGCATACCTTTGATATAATTAATATTAATTAATTAATATAAATTCCTGTAAGCTTTTGACTATCTTCCATTTCTTTCACTTTGGAATAATCAACTGGCCACAGCAGAAGGGGTGGGCATTCGTCCGCACAACCACCCTCTGTGTGTGCCTAAACACAATTTGTGCAAGCGCTAAATATTCCCTGCTCCCCCCCACACACACCGCATCACGAGTAATCTCGATGATCCGATGAGTGCATAAACAAATCAGTGATTGTGGTGAATCCCATTTTCAGTCTCAGGATAAGATTGTTTCTAGTGATACGTGATTTTATTTTACTAAGGCAACTTTACTCCCAAGTAGTTGTATAAACTGAGAAGTATTGGTATGAATAGGAATCTCTGAAAACGAGCTTGTTCGTCATTCTGATGTTTTGTTTTGTTTGAAATGTGTTCTTTGGGACTATTTCGACAATCAATCTAAATTTAACAAAAGTTTTCAATTTTGAGGGCAATTGAGGTAGATAATCACTGTACCGGAATGATGTCCGATGATAGAGTGACTCGCAGATCCCGAATCCACGGCAGAACACAAGGCTGGGAAATGTACGTGTACTGTTACATAATCATGAACTAATGAAAATAAAACGGCATACCTCAAATTAGGGGCAACGCCGTCTGGACAAAACAATCAGTTCGACACAAGGGCAAACCTGCGAGGAAGACACTCTTGAAATTCGTGGAGGAAGAATGCGATGTGGATATAGTGACAGTGCTATTAAAAGAGCGATGAAGACCAATTACAGGGATGGGATGGCGAAATGACACCAAAGGCGGGTGTGGGGCGACAGGTGGCAGTCGTAATCACGGTGTAAGTGAGAGAATAGACAAGGGACACGAGGAGGGTGTCTGGGTTGGTAAAGCACACAAGGCGGGCGATAGCATGTGGGTCGATAAATAACTGATTGCAAGAAAAGAATGAACAGTGAACGAGTGACAACAGTGAAGACCGTAGGATAATTATAGCGGGTGGGTGCTAAACAGGTGGCCACAAATAATACGAGACAGTTTCTGTGCCGGGTTGAGATAATATACAACGATAATAGGTTGAACGAAGAGCGGGTCGCGACAATTAATACGAAAGTTGCTATGTGGGGCTGTTAGGTAACCGTAGGGGTTCCAACTAAATGGTTCCGTTACGGCGGGCAAAGGTCACCAAACTGGGAGGTGGTTAGAAACGCACATGAATTGATGGGTTTTGAACAGAGTATAGGTTGGTCCGGTGTACGTAATTTCAATCACACATTAAAGCATCTTACAATCACCATAGTAATATTCAGCTGCAATACACATAAATTGTGAAATATAGACTGTACTGCATGTGGAATTGGGTCAACTCACTGGATCTATTTTCACATGATGAAAGTGTGCTTTTTTTAACCATTTCCAATGTAAGATTGACATGGAAAGTGAGAATTTTCAATTTCCGTAAGTGTCACATTTAGTTGCTGGTCCATGAATGCATTCTTTTTGTACGTATGTAATGATCAGTTTGTACCACGGAATATAGTGACACCCCCAAAAGATCAATATTTATCTGTAAGAGGTAACACATCTCGAAAGATGCATGTGTACCAACTGAGCAATGTATGCTTGATTCCGTTTACTAACATTTTATTGACTTGGCATATGGTGCTCCCAATCTACCCACACTCCGCCATTGAATGACGCACATGTTTCACTCGAAATTGACAAAGTACACTTACGAAAAACATCTGGAGGCGGTGATGGTATGCCAGTACTTGACCATAAAACCCACTCGAAGCGAAAATTGATTTGAT